CGCGCCCCACCGCCCCCCCGGGGCAGCTCGGTGCGGGGGGCAAGGGGGGGGGGGGTCGGACGGACGGGGTGTGGGAAGGGGGGGGAGGGCTGCGTAACAAGGCGAGCGCGCTCGCGGAGATGGCTCAGGGGGCGCGCTTCGTGGGGGGTTCCCCCTTCCACCCTCTCGCGGTCGTGCTCTGCCGGAGCTCTCTGCCCCGGCTCGGATCCGTGTCTGATGGCCCCAAAGGGCCCGAGGGCTGCTCCCGTGCGCCAGCATCCAGGAGACACGCCGCGCCCACAAAAATCATATCGCCGGAGGCCCAGATGTTTCGGGGGTAGACAGAACCCCCAACAGTGACACGTCGATTAATGAATTGTCCGTTCTCGGTTCTCGAGAGGGCGCCGTGGCCGTTATTTTCCAGGCTTGCGCCCGCCAGGTTTGGGCCTCGGGTCGTTTTCACTAAACCACGTTTTACTAAAGGGGGGTCTGTCCATCCCCGAATGTTGACACCAGCACCAATACTGGCGGTGCGCCTCCACCGAGGGAAGAGGATCCTCATCTCGGTGATGGTGGTATCTGGGTGGCCGAAAGCGCCCTGCCACCAACACCGACATCTAGCATCATCCTCCCCCCCTCCGTGGAGGCGCGCCCCTGTGTTGGCGTCGGTGCCCGCTTCCAGGCCTCCACACGTCGTCGGAGCTCTGCTCCCTGCGGCCCGCAACGGTGCCCATCCGGATCGGCTCCGCTCTTGCTGGCCCCCGGGGACCGAGCACTGCCCCCCAGCGCCAACATCGTGGAGCAGCCCCCGGTCGCACAGAGGCCGCCGGGGAGACGCCGCCGGGCGGCGGAGCCGCCGGGCGGGCGAGTCGCCGAGCAAGTCGAGGAGAAGTCGCCGAAGCTGAGGGAACTCCTCCTCCTCCTCCTCCTCCTCCTACCTTCCTCTCCTCTCCTCCTCTCCTCCTCCTCCTCCTCCTCCCCCTCCTCCTCCCGCCGAAGTCGAGGAGAGTCGCTCGGACGGGGCGAGGAGGAGGGCCACTCCGTTCCGGAGCGTTCCGGAACGCTCTGAGAAGGCCGCGGCGCCCGAGACCCGCGGCCCGCAGCGGGGCCCGCCCGCCGCGTGCGCGCGGCGGCCGCGCGCGCCGCGCCGCGCAGGTGCTCTCCGACCCGGCGGCGCGCGCGGCCTACGACGAAGGCCTTGCGGCGCCGCGGCGGGGCCCGCCCCCCGGAGGCGCGGCCCCGCGAGCGGGGTCCGCAGACGGCGACGACGCCGACGGCGGCGGCGGCGGCGACCAAGACGACGACGCCGGCGACGCCGACGAGGACGGCGAGGACGACATCAGAGGAGGAGCGGGTGCCGATGCCGCTGCTTGGAGCTGTCTGCAGGTCTGAGGTGGCCCAGTATCTCAGGGCTCGTTTCGATTCCTCCGATTCGATTCGATTCGAGTTCGATGGCTTCCGATCCCGATTCGATTCGGCTTGGGATTTCGATTTGGGCTCCGATTTCTCATTGGAGGCCTACGAGCCTGCCGATTTCCGCCGATTCGACTTGTTCCGACTCGGCTGCCGATTTCCGCCGATCCGAGTCAGTTCGATCGCCGATCCGATGTATCGATTCGATTCTGGGCTCTCCTGGTAGCTGGCCTCCGGCCTGCAGGCAGGGCGGGCGGGTGCGAGGCTCCGGGGCCGGGAGTGTTCTTTTTTCCCTTCTCCGGTCTCTGAAGGGCCGCTCTGGGGCCCCTGGGCCGCGGAACACGGATCTGGGGTGGGGCGAAGTTCACCAGGCGAACCCTGGGAGAGATCCGGGCGTGTCCCCCTACAGGGGGATTTTCGACGAAGAATTAGAAATATAAAAGAAAATAGTCGGGGGACTATTTGTTGAATATTTTTTGGGCCTGTTTGGGGTGTTTTTGGGGTATTGTTTTGTTTTTCGACGAAATTTCGGGGACCGATTTTGGGCGGATCTGGCTTTAAGTCGGGCGTGTCCCCCTAACAGGGGGATTTTCGACCAAAAGTTTAAAAATATCACCAAAATAGTTAAACAAATAGTCCAAAGGTAGTCTGGGGACTATGTTTTGAGTATTTTTTGGCCTGTTTGGGGTATTTCAGATTTTTTGTTTTTCATCGAATATTCCCCTGCAGGGGGACACGCCCGACATAAATCTGGCCTCGTCCCCAGCTCCTGACTGATTTTGTTGGGGTCCCAGCCAGGTCAGACCCCCCTGGCCGCTTCCAGCAGCTGCTCGTCCCGGAGAGTCCTCGGCGCCACCGCGGGATTCCCGTCGAAATTGTTGATTTTCGCGTATCCCTCCTCCTCCTCCTCCTCTTCCTCCTCCTCCTTCCTCCTCCCCTCCTTATCCATCCTCCTTCCTCGTCCTCCTCACTCCTCCTTCTCCTCCTCCTCCTCCTCCTCCTCCTCCTCCACCAGCCCATCCAGAAACGATGCCCAGGGGAGTTGAGGTGATCAGGGAAGTGGGGGAGCATGCAGAAAAAAAAAGGGTGGGGGAAGCCGTCCGATACCCCAAGAGGGGGAGGATGGAGGAGGAATCGTAGTCGTCGTCGTCGTCGTCGTCGTCGTCGTCGTTGTCGTCGTCGTCGACGTCGTCGTCTTCGTCGTCGCCGTAGGAGGAGGAGGAAGAGGAGGAGGAGGAGGAGGAGGAGGAGGAGGAGGAGGAGGAGGAGGAGGAGGAGGAGGAGGTGAGTATGCGAGGGAGGAGGAGAGAGGAGGAGGAGGAGGAGGAGGAGGAGGAGGAGGAGAACGAGGGAGAGTTGGGTACCTCGGGAATCCTCTCGAGGCCTCGTATAGGGTCTCTTGGGAGCCTCTTGGAGGCCTCTTGGGGCTGTCTTGGCGCCTCTTGGGGCCCTCTGGTGGCGCTCTTGGGAGCTTCAGGGGCGCTCTTGGGGCCATTTGGAGGACATCGATCAAAAAAGAGGGGAGCTCCAATTAACCTCCCCCCTCGGGAACACCGAACATCGCCTCTGGGACCCCTCTTGGAAGGCTCTTAGGGCGCTCTTGTGCGCGCTTGGGGCCGTCCTGGGGCACTCTTGGGCCTCTCCTGAGGCTCTCTTGGGCCATCTTGGAGCCATCTTGAGGCCTCTGATGGCCATCGGAAGCGAAAAGGCGAGAAAGCAACAACCATTGCTTTTCCTCGGGTGTTCGAAGGATTTTGGCTTCTTGGGGGCCTCCTTGGAGGTCTCGGAGGCTACGTGGAGCCGTCTTGGAACGTTCTTGGAGCCATTTGGAGCATTTTCGGAGCCATCTTGAGGCATCGTGCGCTATCTTGAGCCATCTTGGAGGTCATCTTGGCCTCTCCGAGGTGGGCCATCTTAGACGCTCCAGCTACCCGCGACCAAGCCCCGTCCAGGTCCAGGGGTAACTAGGGGGTAGGGGTCAAGCTACCCACCCGCCCGCAAGCCGTCTAGCTCACTCCCACCAGCCCTCCCAACACATACGTAACACCCGGGAGTCAGCATATCGCGTAAGAGCGCTGCAGACGCCACGGGTTCCACATGCACCAGACCCTGGAGGCCCAAGCGTGCCAGGCGCGCCAGGTTCGGCACGTGCTCCGCGTGCGCCCAGTGTTCCACGTGGTTCAGCCGCGCCGGGTGCGCCAGCCACTGGGCACCAATAGGGGCTCCACCTCCGCAACCCCTATTTGGGGCTAGCCCCCCCCCCTCCCCTTCGGGGCCTTCAGAGCAACCTCTTGAGGCCATATTTGGGCCACCTTGGGGCGTCTCGGAGGCCTCGTGGGCACGGCTTGGAGCTCTCTTGGGCCATCTACCAGGAGGCCTCCCCCTCTGTGGCCTTCAAAACCGCCTCTTGGCGCCCTTTTGGCGCCAACTTGGGGAGTTCTTGGGCCGGCTTAGAAGCCTTGAGCTCGACTTTGGAGCTTTCGTGGTCAATTTTCGAGCCATTTGCAGGTTTCGAAAGCTCATCGGAAACGATAAGACGAAAAGGCAGCAGCACTGATGTGTCAAACAAGTCGGTCGACCACCTGCGCCCAGAAGGCAGGTGGGATCTGCTGGCACCCCAGCCGTCCCTATAAAATACCAATGTAGAATTGTCGCAGGGCGGCCGCGCATGCTCCAAATGTGGAGGCAGAGTGCGTTTTGTATTGTCTTTTGAGAGGGATGGCGGGGGGGCGGGCCTTCATGGAGTCGACATGGTTCTGGGTTGGACGCTGGCTGGGTGGGGAGGGTTTTTGATATCGATAGGGAACAGTGATAAACCCCTCCCCGAAAGGGAAGAAGGGGGTTGGAATAGACGTCGCCCTAGGCCACCTGAGCCCAGACGGCTGGTGGGGTTTAGGTCAGAACGCACCCCAGGATCGTCGAAAACAAACAACCTAACCCTAATAACGCGATGAAAACGCGGCATCACTTAGGTGCCCGTCTTCGCATTAGGGGTAATACGTCTGGGCGGTTTTGTCTGATACACCTGCAGAAACACCTCTATCCCTAATACTTGTGGCACTCCTAACTTAGGTCCCCTCCGAAAGTTGTAGGGTTTTTTGTTCATTGCAAGAGAGGTCCAGGGAGTAGCGGTATGGGTTTTTGTCCGCCCGCCCCCCAGACGATGACGCTGACGGCGAGGACGACGGCGACGACGATGCTGACTGCGAGGTCGATGGCGACGGTGACCCCCTAAACCATCTTCTCCTCCTCCTCCTCCTCCTGCTTCTCCTCCACCTCCTGCTTCTCCTCCTCCTCCTTCTGCCTTCCCCCTTCTCCTCCTCCTCCTCCTCCTCCTCCTCCTCTTCCTCCTCCGCCTCCTCCTGGAGGGAGGGTTTATTCCAAGATCGCTGATGAGTCTTGGGTTTACACTCCTCCTCCTCCTCCTCCTCCTCCTCCTCCTCCTCCCTCTTCTCCTCCTCCCTCTCCTTCTCCTTCTCCTCCTCCTCCTCCTCCCCTCTGCTCCTCCTCTCCCTCCTCCTCTCTCTCCTCCTCCTCCTCCCTCCTCCTCCTCCTCCTCCTCCTCCTCCTCCTCCTCCTCCTCCTCCCTCTCGCCCCCCTGGGCGGAGGCCTCCCGAGCGTGCTGGCGCAGCCGCAGCCGCAGCGCCACCGGGCGCGCCCGCCCGCGGAGCGCCGCGACGCCGCGCTGGCCTGCCTGCAGAGGCTGGTCGCGGCCGAGCCGCGGGAGCGCCGCCAGGAGCCTCTCGTCGAGCCTCTCGCCTGTGCATCGCCGCCGCCGCCGCCGTCGCCGTCGCCGTCGCCTTGGTCGTCGTTTTGGTCGTCGCCTTGGTCGTCGCCTTGGTCGTCGCCTTGGCCGTCGCCTTGGTCGTCGCCTTGGTCGTCGCCTTGGTCGTCGTCGTCGTCGTCGTCGTCGTCGTCGTCGTCGTCGTCGCCTCGGTCGTCGTCGTCGTCGTCGTCGTCGTCGTCGTTGTCGCCGCCATTGAGGAGCTGCTGCGCGGACTGCCCGCGCACGTGTCCCATGCGCTCTTGTCTTGGATGCGCGGGCCCCTAGCAGTCCGCCCGCCGGCTGCGTGCTCGCGCGAGCGCGCCCTGCGACGGGGCCGCGGGCGTCGAGGAGGAGGATGAGGATGAGGATGAGGATGAGTGTGAGGAGGAGGAGGAGGAGGAGGAGGAGGAGGAGGAGGAGGAGGAGGAGGAGGAGGAGGAGGAGAGGAGGAGGTGAGACTGTTCCTCCTCCTTCCGCCTCTCCATCCTCGTCGTCGACGTCGTCGTCCTCCCCTTCTTCTTCTGGTCTTCTTCTTCTTCTTCTTGGTCTTTTTCGTCTTCTTCCCCCTCCGCCTCCTCCTTCTTCTCCTCCTTCTCCTCCTCCTTCTCCTCATCCTCCTCCTCCCTCCCCCTTCCCCTCCCCCTCCCCCTCCTCCTCTCCGTCCTCTCCCTCCTTCCCCCCCTCCCTCCCTCCCTTTTCCTCGTCCTTCCCTCTCTCCTCCTCCCCTTCCTCCTCCTCCTCCTCCTCGTCCTCTTCGTCGTCGTCCTTCTCCTCCTTCTCCTCCTCTTCTTTTCTTCCTCCTCCTCCTTCTCCTCCTCCTCCTCCTCATCATCATCATCATCATCATCATCAGCAGCATCAGCAGCATCATCATGATCATCATCATCATCATCATCATCATCATCATCATCATCATCATCATCATCATCATCATCATCATCATCATCATCATCATCATCATCATCATCATCATCATCATCATCATCATCATCATCATCATCATCATCATCATCATCATCATCATCATCATCATCATCATCATCATCATCATCATCATCATCATCATCATCATCATCATCATCATCCCCCTTCTCTCTCCATTCATGCGCCCCTCCGCGTTACCTGTCGGTAGTGGCGGGTCACTGGCCTTCGCGCGCGCGTGTCGGCCCCTCCTCGCCGAGGCATTCGCAAAAGCCCGTCGCGTCCGCGGCGGCGGACGGCGGGGGCAGGACCTGGCCCGTCGCAGTGGTCCCTCCCTCTCTGCCTGCCTCCTCCCTCCATCTCTTGCCTGCTTCCTTCCTCCCTCCTCCCGCCTCCCTCCATCCCTCCATTCCTCCTCCGCCCTCCTTCCGTCCCCCCCTGCCCGGGGACACCCGAGTGGGTCCCCCCACCCCCAGCACGCAGGGGAACCGCCGGGCAATGGGGCTATGGTCCAGGGTTCCGCATCACGCACCGCCCTTCTCTCCCTCTCTCCTCGCTCTTCCTACTCCGCCCTCGTTCCTCCATCCTTCCCTCCTCCTTCGCTCCTTCCTCCTCCCTCCCTCCCTCCCCCGTCCTCCTTCCTTGTCCCTCCTTCCCTCGCTCGCTTCCTCGCCCCCTTCCTCCCTCCCTCCCTTCTCCTTCCTTCCTTTCATAGGGCGTGACATCTCTTCACGTTCAGATGCTTGCGCCACCAACCTTGGTCGTGTTGTTGGAGGTTGGCGTTCGCCCTGTCCGTTGAGGGGCCCTCCCGTCCCCCGCCACTTGGGTGGCAGGTCGCAAGCAGGGGGTGAACTTGCAACGTTATCTCAAGCCATGGAGCTTTGCACCGCCGCCAGCTCCGCATCCGTATCCCACAGAATGCGACCCGGTTGCCTGGCATCGCTTGGACGTGTGTATTTTTCCTTCGGGGAGGACCATCGAGGAGCATCCTTGATCATTTGGCGAAAAAGCCACGCACAAAACCGAAAAAAACACAGGGAATGGACGTCCGAGCGATGGCCAGGTGGGCCCTCCAGCGTTGAGCTGCTCGGCGGCGGCCAGTGGCATCACCGATCTTTCCAGGCCCGGCCTTCCAGGCGCGCAGTCGACCGCGAGGCACTCAGTTCGGTTGTCGGCTGCGCGAAAAGCGTCTCCGCGAACGAGCTCGGGACCACCTCGGGGTGCGTCCCCGCCGGACTCGAGGCGGATCCAGCCGTGGCCACGGGGGCGCCCCGAAGCCTGGATTCTCGAGCCTTGATCCTCGAGCCTCGACCCTCGAACCCCGACCCTCGAATCTCGGCCCTCGAGCCTCGACCCTCGACCCTCGAGCCTCGAGCCTCGAGCCTCGAGCCTCGAGCCTCGATCCTCCACCCCTCGCGTCTTGGCGGGCTCCCGCTGCCGCTCCCGAGCGACGCCAGCGGCGACGTCGGCGACGGCGGTTCCGAAGGCGATGAGGATAGTGATTGCACCGTGGACTGGACGTAAGAGCGACCTTTCGCCGGAATGACCTTTTGGTGTGGGCCCACTGGGGCCCCCCGATCGCAAGCCGACACCGGCGGCGGCGGTGGCGACGACAGGCAATTCGCCATGGAGCAGGCGGGTCCCCGCGGAAACGGGTCCCGCGGTCTTTTTTTGCAGTTTTCAGGGCTCTGGGGCCTGCCCCGGGCCCGGGGGCCGCCATTAGACAACTCAGGATGACGAACGGGTCCCAGGGGAAGACCTCGGGATCCAGGAACCGTTTCTTTTAGTCCCTCCCTGCCAAATTTCAGGAGGGGAAAAAACACAGACACAATGAATTGTCGATTCCCCAGAAAATATGGGAAGATATGGGAAGTGGGGGGGCAGACCAAAACCCAGAAATATGGAAAAAGACTGGGCATCCTGTTATTTGTGTCTACCTATTTGTGTGTCCCAGGGCTCCTTCAAAATTGCCCTCAGTGGCGACGGCGGCGACCGCCGCCCGTGGAGGTCCCCAGAGTTGTCCGGGTCTCTGGAGGTTCCTCGGAGCCTCCAGCGACCCAGAGAGGGCAAAATGGGGGACCACCTGCGAACCCTACCCCTACCCCTACCTACGACTTCTGAGACGGAGGGTGGTGCTCACTTCGCTCGGGAGCTCCCGAGCGAAGTGAGCCCCCCCCTCCCCCTCAGGAATCGTGGGGGGTAGGGGTAGGGTTCGCATGTGGCCGCCTACGGAAGGCACCCCAGAGCCATCGTCCTCGAATTTCGAGCGAGTCTCGATCGACTTGCTGCACGCTTCTCGGCGGCGGCGACGACGGCGGCGGTGGCGGCAGCGACGACGGCGACGACGACACCAGCAGCGACGACAACGGTGGCGGCGACAGCAGCGACGACGGCGTTGGCGGCGACGACGCTGACAGTGGCGGTGACGACGACGCCAGCAGCAAATGCACCGTGCTACTACTCTTAGGAGCGGGGTCCGACTCTTTACTTTCTCCAGTGCCCGCTACAACGCAGCTGTGGTTTGCTGCAAGTGCCCGTCGAAGGGAGGCCAGTGCCACAGCTGCGTGGTGGAGTGATGCTCCCCCAGTCGGGGCAACGTTAGGGGGGGATCGGTTCAGGGACCCTCAATTGCCCATTCATCGCCGATATGGCCTGATAGCCCTCCATGCACGTGCAGTTTCGCTATCGGTTGCCTATCGCCCATCTGTCGGCAATGTATCGCCGACTCCAGCTCGATGTTCCCCCCCTGAGCTGGCCCCCCTCAAGTGATCCTTGCTTGGTATTCGGGCCATCACTCTGGTCTGCGGTGGCCGTTCGGGATGATACGGGCACCCCCAGAACTCCCTCGGCGAGGCGCAGCTGCTGGAGCACCCCGAGGCCGTTCCCCGCGTATCGTTGCCCCTCACCTCAGGCAGCTTGCGGCGCCGCGGCTCGCGGAGTTGCCTCCAGGGCCGCCCGGCAGCGACGGCGACGACGCCAGCGACGACGACGTGCCGATGACGACGGCGACGACCCGCTCCAGCGGCGGCGACGTGTCGTCGTCAGTGTGTCGCCGCCGCTGGCGTGTCGTCGCCGTCGTCCACGGCATGTCGTCGCCATCACATTGTCGTCCCTGCAGGCATGTTGCCGCTGTCGCCGCTGCCGCCGCCACCGCCGCCGCCGCCGCCGCCGCCGCCGCCGCCGCCGCCGCCGCCGCCGTCGTCGTCGTCGTCGTCGTCGTCGTCGTCGTCGTCGTCGTCGTCGTCGTCGTCGTCGTCGTCGTCGTCGTCGTCGTCGTCGACGCTGCCAGGCGGCCCCCTCGCGTGCGCGGGGGCCGCGAAGAGCCCCGCGCGCCAGGACGGCCGCGGGCTCGCAGGAGCAGCAGCGGCAGCCGCTGGGGCCGGCGCCGAGCCCCTCGGCCTCGAGCCGGGGAGGCGCGCGACCCAGTGTTGTTGCTGTTGAACTCCCACTCCTTTCTGTTGCATCTTCGGGGGACCTCGCCTGTCCCAAAAATTGGTGTTTTTTGGGGGGCCCGACGCGTGCTCGATGCGGACTCGACGCGGATTTGGCGTGGATTCGACGCGGATTCGACACGGATTCGACACGGATCCGACGCGTCCGACATGGATTCGACACGGATTCGACGCGGACAGGGCCGCGACGTGACAGACAAGGTCCCCCGAGGATGCAACATAATTTCTTGAAGACAAATTATTGTTGATCCCCCCCCTTCCGGCGCACATGGTATTTTTCCAGGTGAAGTGCCCCTCCCGCACCCTGTTTTTTTATCAGGGAAGTCTTGAGGGTCAAACTAGGCCCCTGGCCACCGAACTACAACAACAACGGCTGCCGCCTGATCCTTCCCGACAATTTATTTTCAAATCGCGCTCTTGCGCGGGACTTCCTCATAATGTATGCAAGAATCGCGCTCTCGCGTGGGGCTGCTTTGCAATTTATTCAGACACCGCGCTGTCGACACTCAGGAATCACGCTCTCGCTTTCGCTTTTCTCACGATTCACTTGCGAATCGCGCTATCGCTCGAGATTCCCTCACGACTCATGTAGTACTCAAGCTACAGCAACCCGCCTGGTCCCGCCTTTCCGACCCGCCCGCTATGGGTCTGCCCGCGCGATCTGCCCGTCTGGTTCTACCACGCGTTTTCTGCTCCTAGCCCCCCTCCTGCTATTTTCTCTCGTGCTCCATCCTTCTCCCTCTCCCTTCCATCCGTCTTTGCTTCCCTTGTCTTAGGGGCTGCACTAAATGCACGTGGCAGGTAAGGAAGACATCACCCCAAGGCCCCCAAGGGGGTACGATCGAAGAAGAAATTGGCGGGTACCGAGGGATTGGGATATTCGCTTTGAATGGCACGCGAGCAGATAGGAGCGAACAGTCTTTAACGATAACGGAATTCTGTTTTATCTTTAAGCATAATTATCGTTGATCCCCCCTGCCCGGTAACTATTATTTTTTTCAATCACAGTGCTTCTCCCGGGGCTCGCACCTTGTTTTTTTATAAGGAAAGTGAGGTGTCACCAAACTGGGCTCCTGGCCCCCAGTTTACAACAACAACGGCTCCCGCCTGTCACTTCCTTATAATTTATTCCCAAATCGCGCTCTCGCGCGGGACTTCCTCATAATGTATGCAGGCATCGCGCTCTCGCGTGGGGCTGCTTTGCAATTTATTCAGACGCCGCGCTGTCGACATTCGAAAGTCATGCTCTCGCTGTGGATTTCCAAACGATTTATATGGAAATCGCGCTATCGGATTCACGCAGGACGCTCGCTTCAGCAACCCGCCTGCACCTTGTCCCTTCTTTGCATCCGTCCTCTCTTCCCCTGCCCTAGGGGCTGCACGAAATACACGTTGCAGGTAAGAAATATATACCCCTAAGGATACGATCGAAGACGAAACGGGCGGGTACCGAGGGATTGGTATATCCGTTTTGAATGGCACGGGAGCAGATAAGAGCGAACAGTCCTAACATACATGTGTTTGTTTTGTTTTGGTTGTTGTTGTTGTTGTTGTTTTTGTTTTTGTGTTGTTGTGGTTGTGGTTGTGGTTGTTGTTGTGGCTGTGGTTGTGGCTGTGGTTGTGGCTGTGGTTGCTGCTGTTGTTGTTGCTGTTGTTGTTGTTGTTGTTGTTGTTTTTGTTGTTGTTGTTATTGTTACTGTTGTTGTTGTTTTGGTTGTAGGTTTGGTTGTTGTTGTTTTTGTTGTTGTTGTTGGCGTTGTTGTTGTTGTTGTGGTTGTTGTTGTTGTTGTTGTGGTTGTTGTTGTTGAACATTATTAATTCTAAAGAATAATTATTGTTGGGGCCCCTGGTGCACGGCCCCCCCGCCGCGCCTAGGCCGCAGCTACATTTTCATCATTTTTTCGCGAAAGCTTCAGCAAAGTGGATGGGGTCCAGATCCGGTTGTTTTGTTGTAATCCGTTTTCCCTTGCAAAAAACACTATAAAATGACATTTCTTGTTCTAATATAATCAAATTTCAAGAATCCCTTGCAAAAAATAAGGTAAAGTGGACATTCGCGCGCGCAAGACGAAATCCTTCCAAAAGCTTAGTGTTCGGAGCGATTTTAACATAAAAACATCAAAAAACCAATGGTTTTTCAACAAAAAAATGTCAAAATCTCATCCCGCGCGCTCTTGCGGATTCGTAGGAAAACCAACACTTTTTAAACATTTCTGTCAAACGGGCTTTTGCGAGCAACTTTTTCGAACTTCTGCGACAACGGTTGCGCACCTGCCAGGGCCATCATCCCTGTCAAATAATACCATGCGGGACACATTCGTTTTTTGCGCGCGCACGCCGAAATCTCCAAAAACCATTGGGTTCTTAAGAATTTTAGCACCGCGCATCATAAAATCATAAAAACCACAACCATCAGGACAACCATCGGGACAACCATCGAGACAACCATCGGGACAACCATATCCTCTCTCTCTTGTGTATTCCCACATCCCTCAGGAATTTGCCCTAAAGATGTGATCAACTATCTTGTGAGTACGTATCATGTGTATCATGTGTATCATGTACCATATGCATCATATGCAACAGATGTTCTGTGGAAGGCTTAACAACTTCTGTGGGTTAACAAGGCTTAACAACTTCTGTGGGTGTACGAACGTAGGCTTAACAACTTCTGTGGGTGTGTACTCCACGCCAGTGTAGTAGCCACGGTCGTCCGCAGGCCACGAAGTGAAGTGTCCGAACGTCATAGGGCGGGAAGCTGGGTGTGGGTGGTGGCGAAGAGTCGTGTGGATATTTGGTAGAGCTTGCACTGCCCCCCCACAAAGTGGGGGTATTGGCTGGCGTCGCATGAAAACCCTGGCACTGGTGAGAACACTGAGCGTTCGGGTAAAGTGATTGTTGTTGTTGTTGTTGTTGTTGTTGTTGTTGTTTTGGTGTTGGTTGTTATTGCTGCTGTAGTAGTAGTAGTAGTAGTAGTAGTAGTAGTAGTAGTAGTAGTAGTAGTATTAGTAGTAGTAGCAGTAGTAGTAGTAGTAGTTGTTGTTTTGGTTTTGGCTGTTGTTTTCGTTGCTGTCTTTGTTATTGTTTTATTGTTTTATTATTATTGTTGTTATTGTTGTTGTTGTTGTTGTTGTTGTTGTTGTTGTTGTTGTTGTTGTTGTTGTTGTTGTTGTTGTTGAACATTATTACTTCTAAAGAATAATTATTGTTGGGACCCCTGGTGCACGGCCCCCTCGCCGCGCCTAGGCCGCAGCCATGTTTTCATCATTTTCGTGAGGAAGTCTCCGGCAAAACGGGTTGGTCCGGATCCGGTTGTTTTGTTACGGGCGGTTTTCCCTTGCAAAAAATAAGGCAAAGTGGACATTTCTTGTTCTAACATAACCAAACTTCAAGAATCCCTTGCAAAAAATAAGGTAAAGTGGACATTCGCGCGCGCAAGACGAAATCCTTCCAAAACCTTAGTGTTCGTACGATTTTAACATAAAAACATCAAAAAACCAATGGTTTTTCAAAAAAAAGTGTCAAAATTTCATCCCGCGCGCTCTTGCGGATTTGTAGGAAACCCAACACTTTTTAAACATTTCTGTCAAACGGGCTTTTGCGAGCAACTTTTTCACGTGCTTCGAACTTCTCCAACAACGGTTGCGCACCTGCCAGGGCCATCATCCCTGTCAAATAATACCATGCGGGACACATTCGTTTTTTCTTCGCGCGCGCCTCACCAGCCAAAGCAGTCCATATCATTGTAGGACCTACAGACAGTACCGGCGTCGTACTGGTTTACCGTGGTTTCCTATTCTAGCGTCAGGAACACGTTACCACCAAAAACCAGTACAGGTGTCCAGTGTTGGAACAGGGGGAAAAGTCGTATACTAAGCTAGCGTCCAGAAAATGTTACCACAACAAGTCACTGTACCCATGCGCCAGTGTAGTAGCCACGGTCGTCCGCAGGCCACGAAGTGAAGTGTCCGAACGTCATAGGGCGGGAAGCTGGGTGTGGGTGGTGGCGAAGAGTCGTTTGGAAATGTGGTAGAGCTTGAACCGGCCCCCCCACAAAGTGGGGGTATTGCCCGCCTCCTATGAAAACCCTGGCACTGGTGAGAACGGAGTGTCCCCACGTGCTAGTAATTATTGTTGTTGTTGTTGTTGTTGAACATTATTTATTCTAAAGAATAATTATTGTTGGGACCCCTGGTGCGCGACCCCCTCGCCGCGCCTAGGCCGCAGCTACATTTTCATCATTTTCGTGAGGAAGCCTCAGGTAAAACGATGTGATCAAGATCCGGTTGTTTTGTTCCCCCCCGCTGTCCCTTGCAAAAAACACTATAAAATGAAATTTCTTGTTCTAAAATAACCAAACTTCAAGAATCCCTTGCAAAAAATAAGGTAAAGTGGACATTCGCGCGCGCAAGACGAAATCCTTCCAAAACCTTAGTGTTCGTAGCGATTTCAACATAAAAACATCAAAAAACCAATGGTTTTTTTTTTAAAAAAAAGTGTCACAATTTCATCCCGCGCGCTCTTGCGGATTTGCAGGAAACCCAACTTTTTTAAACATTTCTGTCAAACGGGCTTTTGCGATCAACTTCTTCACGTGCTTCGAACTTCTCCAACAACGGTTGCGCACCTGCCAGGGCCATCATCCCTGTCAAATAATACCATGCGGGACACATTCGTTTTTTCTTTCCGTGCGCACGCCGAAATCTTCAAAAACCATTGGGTTTCGTAGGAATTTTAGCACCGCGCAACATAAAATCATTTTTCGCACCGTAGGCCCTTCAAATCGTCGTCGTCGTATACTAAGCTAGTTTCCACAAGATGTTACCACAAGAAGTCATTGAAACCATGCGCCAGTGTAGTAGCCACGGTCGTCCGCATGCCACGAAGTGAAGTGTCCGAACGTCATAGGGCGGGAAGCTGGGTGTGGGTGGTGGCGAAGAGTCGTTTGGAAATGTGGTAGAGCTTGAACCGGCCCCCCCACAAAGTGGGGGTATTGGCGGGCGTCGTATGAAAACCCTGGCACTGGTGAGAACACTGAGCGTTCGGGTAAAATGATTGTTGTTGTTGTTGTTGTTGTTGTTGCTGCCGTTGTTGTTGTGGTTGTTGTCGTTGTTGTTGCTGCTGCTGCTGTTGTTCATATTGCAGTTGTTGCGTAGGGAGGGGGGGGGAGGGAGGAGGGGGGTGGGGGGGAAGATAGAGGAGGGAGCACTGTATTTCCCCAGCCCTCATGGCGCCCCTTCTTCTTGCCTCAGCACTCGTCCCCTGGGCTTCCCCCCCCTCGGCCGTGCGCGCGCCTCGGGCCCCGAGCCCAGACCCCCGACGTCACGATTTTTCGTGCCGTCCGACCCCTCCTCCCTCCTCCTCTCCTCCTCTCTCCTCCTCCTCCTCCTCCTCCCTCCTCCTCCTCCTCCTCCCTTCCTCCCTCCTCCTCCTCCTCCTCCTCCTCCTCCTCCTCTCCCTCCTTCCTCCTCCCCCTCCTCCTCCTCCTACCTCCTCCTCTCCTCCTCCTCCTCCTCCTTCCTCCTCCTCCTCCTCCTCCTCCTCCTCCTCCTCCTCCTCCTCCCCCCCACAGGGCCGAAAACAGCGACACACCTCACGACGGTGATCCTTTCATGACTCGAAGGGGTTCCTGGGATCTGCGGGCCCCCCTCATTGGACGCCCCCCTCATCGGACGCCCCCCGCGCGCGTGTGCGGGCCCATCCCGGGGTGCACCGCGACGCCGCACCGCGACGGCTGCCAGGGGCTGCCCTTCAGCCCGGCCGCCCCCGCCCGCTCGCCGCAGCCATGCTGCGTGAGTGCCTCCCGCGCCCGGCCCCCCCCCCTCCCGCGGCCGCCTCTCCCTCGCCTGCCCCCGCCCCTACTGCATGCGGGTAGTGCGCGCCGCCGTGCCCCGGCCTCGCCCGAGCGCGCGCGCGGCCTGCCCCTGCCGCGCGGCGACGCGCGAGGCGCGTGCGCGGCCCGCCCCTCCCCCGCGGCCCGCGGCAGGCGGCAGCGGCTCCGACTCCGAGGCGGCCTCCGGCCCGGCGCTGGGGGCGGCCGGTGCGGGCGCGGCCGCGGCGGCGGAGGCCGCCGGGGGCAGACTCGCCATTCGAGCAGGGGGTCGACCACAGAGTCGATCTAACCCCTAGGGTTTCTTGTTGGGCCCCCCGCCCTTGCATCCGGCGGCGAGCAGGACTGGTCCTCGAACCTCCTCCTCCTCCTCCTCTTCCTCTTCTTCTTCTTCCTCCTCCCCCTCTCTCCCCTTCTCTCTCCCCTTCTGTCTCCCCTCGTAGCTGTCGTCGTCGTTGTTGCGCGGCGGGTGCCGCGAAAGGCAAGACTTAGTTACCCCTCATTGGTGGGACCCCAGTCCTTCAACTAGGCCGCCGAGTAGTAAGTAGTTGCCCCCTGTTGGGGGGTTTTAAAGATCCTTCGCGGTTGCCCCAAGATTGATTTCCCCGTCGAATCGACGAAAAGGTGCGTAGGATGTCCCGCAGATCCATGGAGCATTCGACGTATTCTTCGTAGAGTCTATGGAGAAGCAGCTTTGCGGTACATCAATTCTGTGGTCGATCTCGATCCCTTACTCAGGCCATGGGGGAAATCGGGTCCTGGGCTTTTTCGCCGTTTTCGGGCTCCCGGGGTCCTCCACGGGCCCCAGGACTGTCAGAAAACAGCTCAGGATGAAGATCTCGTCTTGGGTGGAGGCCCAAGGGTCCAGGACCCGTTTCCCTTAGGACCTCTCTCCCCCATGCTGAGCAGACCGCTCAAAACGGACTGTCCTTCCTTGGGGCCTCTTAGATGGGGTCGGAGTAGATGGCGCCGGATGGTTGCGCCGTATCGACGATGGCATCGCCGATGCGGCTCGACTTGGATCCTGACTTTCTCCACGCTGCCGGCGCCCATTCATCTCCGGTGCCGATATATCGCCGATGCATCGGCGATGCGTCGCGATCCTCCGACCCCATCTGCTCAGACCCCATCTGGGAGGCACTACTTCCATCCGTGTGATTGTTTGATGTTTCTCAGACGAGTGTGCGCGGCGCCAAGGCGAGAGCCGCATTTTGAAAAGAAGCCATTCATCCGTGTACCTGCTCGATGTTTGAAGGCGAGTGTGCGTGGCGCCAAGGCGAATGTCCCATTTTGCGAGCCACCTGCGGTCAATTCTAAGTGCTGCAAGTCTTCACGATTGTCCATTTTGGAAACGGCCCGTGAGTCATCCGCGTAACTGTTTGGAATTTGAAGCCTTGAGGTCATGAGCTGTGAGGACGCCTCAGGCGAGACGTTGGGTGCGCCCTGAAGATACGTCTAGTGGTGCGGCTTGGAGGAGGCATCTATCCGGAAGAGGGGCACAGGGATGATGGTGATGATGATGATGATGATGATGATGATGATGATGATGATGATGATGATCATGATGATAATGATGCTGATGCTGCTGCTGCTCATGATTATGATGATGATGCTGCTGCTGCTGATGATGATGATGATGATGATGATGATGATGATGATACTGATGATGATGCTGATGATGATGGCGATGATGATGCTGATGATGATGCTGCTACTGATGGTGATGATGCTCATGATGATGACAATGATGATGCTGATAATAATAAGGATGATGCTGCTGCTGATGATGCTGATGGTGATTCTGATGCTAATGCTGATGCTGATGCTGATGCTGTTGCTGCTGCTGCTGCTGCTGCTGATGATGATGATGATGATGATGATGATGCTGAGGCTGATGCTGATGCTGCTGCTGCTGCTGCTGCTGCTGATGATGATGATGATGATGATGATGATGATGATGATGATGATGCGGCTGCTGTGGCTGCTGCTGATGATGATGAGGAGGAGGAGGAGGAGGAAGAGGAGGAGGATGAGGAGGAGGAGGAAGAGGAGGAGGAGGAGGAGGACCAGTGTAAATTCAATGCTCGTCAACGATGTTGCAATCAACCCTCGCCCCGAGCTCCCTCTGCGCATGCCCCATATGAATATTCATTCTTACTGAAGGCAATGGCCCGTTTGAAAACAACTGTTCGGAAATCGGGACAGTGCGAAAACATGGTTCTTGTGACTTCAACGCCGCGAACCAGTTACTGTTACGCCAACCTTGCCACGACACCATTTCTGGGATTTCAGGGCCACGAATCAACGTAACTGTTGTGCCGTGACAGTCCGATATCGCGCACAAGCGCAACTTCTGCGGCGTTGGCCATGCGAATCCGTGAAGCTCTTGCAATGTGTCATGACGAGTGCGCGCCGCGCGAAAGCGATGACCGCATTTCGAGAAAAAAGGAAACGCACTCCATCCGCGAAGCTCTTGCACATTTGTATGACGAATGTGCGCGGGGCTCTGGCGGGAGCCACATTTTGAAAAGAAACCACCCTCCGTCCGTGAAGCTTTTTGCAGATATTACGACGAATGCGCGCGGCGCTGAAGCGAACCCATTTTGACAATGACCCGCCCGCCCTCCATTCGTGAAGCCCTTTGCAGTTGTTATGACGAATGTGAGCGGCGCTGACGCGTGAGCCACATTTTGACAACCACCCGCCCTCCATCCTTGAAGCTGTTGCAACGTTGGAGCTTCAGAATCGTAGGTGGTGAGGAAACTCAGACGGGAAAAGAATGGAGGTGGTGGTCGGCGAGGAGGAGGATCGGATATGAGAAAGAAGAGGGAACAGAGCAGGATAAGACGGAGGATAAGGAGGATGATGATGAGGGTGAGGATGGACATGACCATGATGATGATGCTGCTGCTGATGATGATGATAACATGATGGTGGTGCTGCTGCTGATGATGATTGTGATGGTGATGCTGATGATGATGACGATGCTGATACTTTTGCTGCTGCTGATGATGATGCTGCTGATGATGCTGATGATGCTGATTATCATGACGATGATGATGCTGATTATGATGAGGATGCGGATGATGATGATGATGATGATGATGATGATGATGACGATGATGCTGATGATGATGATGATGATGATGATGATGATGATGATGATTATGATGATGATGATGATGATACTGCTGCTGCTGATGATGATGATGATGATGATGAGGATGATGATGCTGATTATGATGATGATGCTGATGATGATGATGATGATGATGATGATGATGATGATGATGATGCTGATGCTGATGATGATGATGATGATGATGATGATGATGATGATGATGATGATGCTGATGATGATGATGATGCTGCTGATGCTGCTGATGATGATGGTGATGATGATGTTGATCATGATCATGATGATGATGCTGCTGCTGCTGATGATGATGATGATGACGATGCGGACGATGATGCTGATGATGTTGATGATGATGATGCTGCTGCTGATGATGTTGATGATGCTGATGATGCTGCTGCTGATGATGCTGATGATTAGGATGATGATGAAGAGGAGGAGCAGGACAACGAGGAGGAGGAGAAAGAGGAGTAGGAGGAGGAGGAGGAGGAGGAGGAGGAGGAGGAGGAAGAGGGGGAGGAGGAGGAGGAGAAGGACGGGGAGGAGGCTGAGGAGGAGAGGTGGCGGAAGAGGTGGGGAAGGAGGAGGAGGAATAAGAAGAGGACGAATACTATGATGAATGATACTACCAACAGTACAACTAATAATTATACCACCAATCATATGATAGCAATAATGAGACGAATAAAAAGAAACAGTTAATTTGATGAGCAGTGATATGAATACTACTTAGAAGCGCAAAAAGAGGTGGAGGAGGAGGAGGAGGGGGAGGAGGAGGAGGAGGAGGAGGAGGAGGAGGAGGAGGAGGAGGAGGAGGAGACGAGGAGGAAGAGGAGGACGAGGATGAGGCGAGGATGAGGAGAAGGAGGAGAGGGAAAAGAAGGAGGAAGAGGAGGAGAGGAGGAGGAGGAGGAGGAGGAGGAGGAGGAGGAGGACGACCAGGAGGAGGAGGAGGAGGAGGAGGAGAAGGAGTTGGAGGTATTGGAGGAGTTGGAGGAATTCGAGGAGGAGAAGGAGGAGGGGGGAGTAGGAGGAGTAGGAGGAGGAGGAGGAGGAGGAGGAGGAGGAGGGAGAGGAGGAGGAGGAGGAGAAGGAGGAGGAGGAGGAAGAAGAGGAGGAGGAGGAGGATGGGGGGACCAGTGTAAACCCAAGAGTCATCAACGATGTGTTGGAAGGAATACAGCCTTCCTCCAATCTCCCTCTTCATAGGCCCCTAGAACGGTTCGTCTCCACTGATGGAACTGCTTCGTTGGAATACAACCGTTTGAAGACCCTGAAGAATGCCAAAACATCATTCTCGGGACTCCAACGCTACATATTAACCGGACTTTTGCGTCTTGACGATCTTGAATCGCGCCAAAACGCCCAACGTAGCTGTGGCGCCCTCACAATCCAGAATCTTTCCAAAACGCCATTTCGGGTACGTTGATCACGGGCATCCGTGAAACTTTCTCATGCTTTTGCAACGAATGTGCGGCGCTAAGGCGAGAGTCACGTTTGAAAACGACCCGCCCCCAATCCGCGAATTTCTTGCATTTTATTGTTGGAGCGAATGTGCGCGGCGCTAAGGCGAGGGTCACATTAAAAAAACGATCCGCCCCCAATCCGTGGTTGAAAAAGAATGTGCGCGGCGCCCTCATTCCGTGAAACTCTTGCAACATTTGAAAACCAGTGTGTGCGGCGCCAAGGCGAGAGCCACATTTTGGAAACGACACGCCCTCAATCCGCGAACATGTTGCCATTTTTTACAAATAATTTGCGCGGCGCTAAGGCGAGAGTCACTTTTCAAAACGACCCGCCCCCAATCCGCGACATTCATGTTTTCTTGAAACGAATTTGCGCGGCGCTAAGGCAAGAGCCACATTTTGAAAACGACCCGCCCCCAATCCGTGAAACTGTTGCCACTTGTAAGCTTCAGGGTCACAAGCGATGAGGAAGGCTCTGGCGAGATGCCCGGCCTGCCCTAAAAACAAGCCTCGGGGAACGACAGGGAGAAGTTATTTCATAAGGAAAAGGAATGCGGATTGGAGGAGTTGGAGGAGTTGGATGGGTTGGAGGGGTTGGAGGAGTTGTAGGAGTTGGAGGGGTTGGAGGGGCTGGAGGAGTTGGAGTAGTTGGAGGAGTTGGAGGAGATGGAGGAGTTGGAGGAGATGGAGGAGTTGGAGGAGTTGGAGGAGTTGGAGGAGAGCTGGTGGAGTTGGAGGTGTTGGTGAATATTGGAGGAGCCGGTGGAGTTGGGCGAGTTGGAGGAGTTGGAGGAGTTGGGGGAGTTGGAGGAGTTGGAGGAGTTGGAGGAGTTGGAGGAGTTGGAGGTGCTGGAGGAGTTGGAGGAGTTGGAGGAGTTGGAGGAATTGGAGGAGGAGGAGGCAGGCCCGGGAGAGAGAATAGCAGCCTTCCCGCTTGCCCGCTCGCGAGGAGCCCGCCCGCAAGCGCGCCCGCGCTGACGGCGGGGGCGCGGTAGGCGTGCACAAGGTCGGGAGCAAGGCGAGCCTGTACCAGGCACGTCCGGGCCCTGCTGCCCCTTCACGTCTGCCTGGCGGGCCGCGCCGCCAGCTCCGGCTCACCGCACATGTCCCAGGTCCCCGAGCACCTCGTGGGCGGACAATACAGAGTCAAAGTCCACACTAAGGATGCGCTGCTTCAGCAAGGCTAGCCTTGCATCCCTGCTTCTTCTGCCCTTAGCCAATCTTGACGTCCAAGAAACTCCTGGGTGGCAAACGTGACTTTAAGGGTCTTGCATTCTTACCGTCAACCTTTGATATGGACTTACTATGGATTTGAAGTTTCGCGGGTCGGGCCCCTGGGCCGCGACCCCATGGACACTGGGAGCTTTCTTCGCGGGTGCCCCGCGAGGAACGTATCCATGCGACCGCGTATCCACGCGATCGTGTCCCTGAGTGCAGACCGTGAGGGGCTTGGATATGGGCACGTTTGCCGCTCGTGAGCATCAGCGATCCGATCTTTTCCTGTCCCCCGTCCCGCGAAGCAGAGCGACACGCCACCGTCTTGCAGGCCACAGCGTGTCTCAGGGGCCGCCGCTGCGCACGCCTCGCAGACGTTCCTCACCGTAAGGCGCTCGGGCTGTGTGGAGGGCCGCCCCCGTCCAGGGGCAGTCTGCGGCTCTCCGCGCGCTCGCCTGGCGCATGCTGCGGTGCGGCATATGGCGACGGGATGCACCAGGCCTGCCCGATCCTGGGCCCAGGAGGGGTCAGGCCACGGGCAGCGGACATGTATAAATCCCGCTGCCCTGCAGCATGCTGGCCTCGCTTCGATCTGCCCGTGCGCTGCTCCTCCGCCCTCCCCCTCCCTTCTCCTCCTCCTTTAGCCCGCTACGGCTGGGCCCTCGGCGAGGAGGAGGAGGAGGAGGAGGAGGAGAAAGCGGAGGAGGAGGAGGAGGAGGAAGCGCAGGAGGAGGAGGAGGAGGGAGGGCGAGGGCGGAGGAGAAAGAGGGGGAGGAGCAGGAAAAGGAGGAGGAGGAGGCGAAGGCGGAGGCGGAGGCGGAGGAGGAGGAGGACGAGGGATGATGATGATGATGATGATGATGATGATGATGATGATGATGATGATGATGATGATGATGATGATGATGATGATGATGATGATGATGATGATGATGATGATGATGATGATGATGATGATGATGATGATGATGATGAGGAGGAGGAGGAGGAGGAGGAGGAGGAGGCGGAGCAGGAGGAGGAAGAGGAGCATGAGAAGGAGGCGGAGGAGGAGGAGGACGAGGACAGAGGAGGAGGCGGAGGAGGAGGAGGAGGAAGAGGAGGAGTAGGACGAGGAGGAGGAGGAGGAGAAGGCGGAGGAGGAGGCGGAGCAGGAGGAGGAGGAGGAGGATGAGGAGCAGGAGGACCAGGACGAGGAGAAGGAGGACGAGGACGAGGACGATGATAATGATGATGGTGATGATGATGAGGAGGATGATGCTGATGATGCTGCTAATGATGATGCTGATGACGACGATGATGGTGATGCTGATGACGATGATGATCTTGCTACTGCTGCTGATGCTGATGCAGATGATGCTGATACTGATAATGATGATTGTGCTGATGCTGACTATGCTGATGATTTTGATGATGCAGATGACGATGATGCTGATGAGGATGCTGATGATGCTGATGATGCTGATGCTGATGCTGATTATGATGCTGCTGCTTCTGTTGCTGATGCTGATGATGATGCTGACGATGCTGCTGGCGCTGATGATGATGAGGATGATGATGATGAGGATGATGATGGTGATGCTGATCAATATTATGCTGATGCTGATGATGCTGATGCTGATGCTGATGATACTGATGCTGATGATGCTGACGCTGCTGATGCTGATGATGCTGCTGACGATGATTACGACGATTTTGGTGATACTGATGACGCTGCTGATGGTGATGGTGATGATTCATGATGATGCGGCTGATGATGATGATGATGATGATGAGGATGATGATGTTGAGGATGATACTGATGATGATGACATGATAGTGATGCTGATGCGGATGATGATGAGGATGATGCTGATACTGTTGATATCGATGTTGATGATGATGCTGATGCCTATGCTGATGCTGATGATGCTGATATTGCTGATGCTGTTGATGATGTTGATACGGAGGATGATGACGATGATGATGACGATGCTCTGATGAAGATGAAGATGAAGATGAAGATGATGACGATGATGCTGATGCTGATGATGATGATGATGATGATGATGCCGACGTGGATAAAATGCGGCTGCTGATGATGTTGATGATTCTGATGATGCGGATGATGATGACGATGCAGATGCTGCTGTTGATGCTGATGATGCTGATGCTTCTGATGGTGACGATGGCGTTTGCGATGACGAGAACGATGATGATGAATATGCCGACGATGGCCGATATGCTGATGATGCTGCTGCTGATGATGATGACGCTGACGTTGATGCTGGTGATGATGAATGTGATGATGCTGATGATACTGATGATGATGATGATGATGATGATGCTAATTCTACTGATGATGATGCTGATGCTGATTATCAAGGTGATTCTGACCATGATGCTGATAATGATGATGCTTACGATCATGATGATGCTGTTGCTGTTGATGATGATGATGATGATGACGATCATCATACTGATGATGATAATGATGCTGATGATGATGACGATGATGATGATGATGACGGGTGATAGTGAGGATGCTGGTGCTGACGATGATGCTGCTGATGATGATTATGTGGATGATGAGTTGATGCTGATGATGTTGATGATGTTGATGATGATGCTGGTGATGATTGTGATGATGCTCATGATGCCGATGGTGCCGATGATGATGCATGGGATCATCATGCTGCTGATGATGATGATGATGCGGCTGCTGATGATGATGCCGCTGCTGAAGATGCTGCTGCTGACGATGATGTTGCTGATGAGGTTTGTGGTGATGATAGCGATGTCGCTGATACTGCTGCTGCTGATGATATTGATGATGTTGATGATGATGATGATGGTGATGCTGATGCTGATGCTGATGCTGATGCTGATGCTGCTCATGCTGGTGGTGATGCTGCTTATGCTGATGCTGATGACGATGAGGATCATGATGATGATGCTGATGATGATGCTTGTGACGATGATGATGCTACTGATGATGATGTTGATGCTGATGCTGATGATGATGCTGGTAATGACGGTCATGGTGGTGATGATGAGGAGGGTAATGATGCTGATGATGATGATGCTGATGCTGATGCTGATGATGATGCTGATGATGCTGATGATGCCGAGGCTCGTGATGATGCTGAGAAGGAGGAGTAGGAGGAGGCGGAGGAAGCGGATGTGAAGGAGGAGGATCATGAGGAGGATGAGCAGGATGAGAAGGAGGCAGAGGATGAGGACGCAGCGGATGATGCTGATGATGATGATGATGAGGATGATGAGGATGATGGTGATGCTGATGATGATGATGCTGATGCTGCTGATGCTGATGCTAATGATGATGCTGATGATGAGGATGACGATGACGATGCTGGTTGATGCTGATGATGCTGGTGCTGACGATGATGCTGCTGATGACGATTATGCGGATGATGAGTAGATGCTGATGCTGATGCTGATGATGATGATGTTGATGCTGATTCTGATGATTATGATGATGATGCCGATGCTGATGCAGAGGATGATGATGCTGCTGCTGATGTTGATGATGATGATGATGCGGATGCTGATGATGATGCCGCTGCTGAAGATGCTTCTGCTGACGATGGTGTTGCTGATGAGGTTTGTGGTGGTGATACCGATGACGATGATACTGCCGCTGCTGATGATATTGATGATGATGATGTTGATGATGATGATGCTGATGCTGATGCTGCTCATGCTGATTGTGATGCTGATGCTGATGATGATGATGCTGATGATGACGCTGATGATGCTGATGATGATGCTTGTGACGATGATGATGTTACTGATGACACTGCTGATGCTGATGTTGATGCTGGTGATGATGATGATGATGCTGATGCTGATAATGACGGTCATGATGATGATGGGGAGGATGATGATGATGATGATTCTGATGATGATGATTCTGTTGATGATGCTGATGTTGATGATGATGATGATGCTGATGATGCCGATGCTGCTGATGATGATGCTGAGAAGGAGGAGTAGGGGGAGGAGGAGGAATATGATGATGAGGAGGAGGATAATGAGGAGGATGAGCAGGATGAGGAAGAGGAGGCAGAGGAGGAGGAGGAGGAGGAGGGGGCAGAGGATGATGATGATGATGATGATGATGATGATGCTGATGCTGCTGATGCTGATGCTGATGCTGATGCTGATTATGAGGATGATGATGCTGATTATCCTGATGATGACGATGATGATGGTGATGCTGCTGATGACGATGCTGATGATGATGATGAAGGTGATACTGATGCTGATGCTGATGATGATGATGACGATGATGAGGAGGATGATACTGATCATGCTGATGATGATGATACTGATGCTGATGACGATGATGGTGGTGATGCTGCTGATGATGCTGATGCTGATGATGCTGATGCTGATGATGGTGCTGCTGTTCATGATGATGCTGATGTTGATGTTGATGATCGTGATGAGGATGAGGATGATGAGGAAGATGATGATGATGATGCTGATGCTGATGTTGATGATGGTGAGGATGAGTATGAGGATGAGGATGAGGATCTGGATGAGGATGAGGATGCAGATACTGATGAGGATGATGATGGCGCTGATGATGATCATGCTGATGCCGATGATGATGTTGATGATGATGATGCTCATGCTGATGTTGCTGATGATGCTGATGCCGGTTTAGATGCTGATGATGTTGCTGATGTTGGTATTGAAGCTGATGCTGTTGCTGATGCTGATGATTCTAATGCTGATGCTGATGATGATGACGCTGCTGATGATGATGTGATGGTCATGATGATGTTGCTGATGATGCTGATGCTGTTGATGCTG